ACAACACGAACAATCAACACACACGCGCACATACACACACTCACCGTGACGTGACTGCTCTTAGGCTGAGACCACATCCGCTCAAAAATCTAGAGACCAAGCGAGCGTGTCCACTCATTTTCTAGCTTTGAACAATCACTTTAAAGGGACAGTTCGGCCGTGATATTTACCGTTGATTGTTGTATTATTTAAACAGCTTGTCTTTTAGATGCACAACGATAACAGCTCGGAAATACCTTGTTATTCGTTTACTTTAGTGCAGGCGCCATTCATGCTATAAACATACTCACATTTACGTCGCATTCAAACAAAAGTTCTAACTATAGAGTCATTCGTCGTTTACTCCATTATAATGTAATTTTAAATTATTATACAAATTAAAGACAAATCTTTTTATTTTCGAGGAGGTACCTTTTTGTCAGGTTATTGTTCCATGTGCCAATGTACATACAAATAGGGCCCACAGTAGAAGCAAACAACTGTGAGTAACAAGGCTTTACAAGTTCTAACGCAGTCGAGTTGTACTGTACGTTTACTTGAAAACTTTACAAAAAAAGACTACGTGTTCTACACTGCTCACTGTTAAGAACTTTTGAGTTTTGTGTTTTTACAAACACTTCTAGGTAACAGCATGCGCTCGAAGCCGTCAACCGCCTCGCTCCGCCCCAGTGTTTACCTCCGCGTATGAATACCTACAGGTGACAGCTGATAGTCGTCGGGACTTCTTCTTTAAATAGACTCCCTGCGGCTGCTGATTGGACAACTTGCGCGGGGGAGGTGGCGTTGTAGTAAAGCGCTTTAAATAGAGGTCTACTTTTGTGTTTGGAAATAAAGGCAACTCTAGTAGCGTTTCACTTCTGTTACATTCAACATTGTAATTTTTGTTATAATTCAATATATAAATTACAAGGCCACGTCTGAGACTGATTGAGATTCATAAAGTTTGTATTACAAGTAAGCTTAGCATGAATGGACATGTTTAAGTGGAATGGAAGGAAGTGACCT